ATTTTGCATCTGATTATTTACGAGGATAAACTATGAGTGGTTATTGAGATTTTCGCAAATATAATTTGATATCCAATATTTTAAACTGTATGCGAATAAAATGAAACTTTCATTTTAATATATTTTGTCCGTGAAAAGATATGAACAATGTTCACTCTGAATGTGTTCTTATTCAGGAATTTCGAAAATAAAGAATCCAGTTCAGTCAGTCAGTCAGCTGCAACGTAGGACCAGGCACGTATATGCATCGGTCCAAGTTGCCATACCGCATTAGCACAACAAGATGAACACCGGATTCATAGAAGTAGTTAATTCAGTGGTGGTAATATATAGAGGAAAGATTGCATATAAGGACACATTACAGGAAAAAAGAATTAGTTCGTAGAAAGAAAGACATGAAGCGATTTTAATCTCTCAGTTTAAAGGAAGACAGAGAGTGTATACACCGACGCCATTGTGATCGATTCTGACCCATTAGAACTGATCAGACTTTCAAGATAAGTGAAGTTGTCGACGCGTTCGATTACTCCACTCCCTATCCTTAGTTCAGGTGTTGACGTAGACCAGTCTTGAAGCAACAACTGGCATTTAGAGGGAGAGAAGCGCATCCCAAACATTCTGGCATTGTTGCTTAGTGCTACCAAAAGACTCTGCATTTCATCAGCGTCTTCACCAAACAGGACTATGTCATCTGCGTATTCTAAGTCAATAAGTGGACCTCCTGGAAGGAGATCAATACCTGAGAATTCAGTCGATGAGAGCGTTATTTCCATCAGTAGATCTATGATGAAGTTAAACAAAAATGGAGAAAGTGGACAGCCTTGACGGACACCACTTGAGGTTGCGAAAGCAGATGACAGTTCGTCATAAGCTCTGACTCGACTAGTAGTGTTCGAGTAAAGATCCTTCACAAGGTTTATGTACTTCTGAGGTACGCCTTTCAATGACAGACACTGTCACAGAACCTCTCGGTCTACAAAGTCAAATGCTGCTTTTAAGTCAAGGAAGACCACCATTGTCGGACGCCGATAGGTATACCTGTGTTCTAGAACCTGACGAATGGTGAATATGTGGTCGATGCAGCCACGACCAGGTCTGAAGCCAGCCTGATTTTCACGTGTTTGCAGTTCACGAGTCTTACTTAGGCGTCCGAAAATTATCGAGGCTAGTATTTTAGATACTATATTAGTCAAACTAATCCCTGTGGTTGTCACAGGATGATTTTGACCTTTTCTTAAATATTGGGACGATAAGTGATTGTGACCAGTTAGATGGGATAACGTCTAACTCCCAGATTTTAGCTAAAATATTAGTCAACCTAATCGCTAAAACTAGACCACCATCCTTAAAGACCTCTGGGGCCAATCCATCTGGACCAGCTGCCCTTCCTCGTTTCAGATTAACTATTGTCTTTTGAACTTCAGCTAGAGATGGGGGGCCTACTTCAATGTTCCATTCACACTGTCTGGGGATAGGGGGTAGTCGTAGAATAGCTGAAGGCCAACTGATCTGCTCCTTAAAATGTTCCGCCCATCGTTCTAAAGGTCTGGACTGGGAGCAGATGAGAGTGTCGTCTTTTTTCGAAATAGTCTGACTTACACTTGACTTATTAATTCCAGTTTCTTTTATTAGTCTGTAGAGTTGTCTTGTGTCCTGACCGTTGTTGCTACCTTGACGTGGTGGTCGGGCTTGCCTATTGTGATGAAGCAACTGAGCTATACTGGCTGGAACAACCGTTCCTCAAGGTCCTACCATGCCAGACAGGTCGGTTGAAGAGCGGTAAGACTAAAAGCAACAAAACCAAGGTCCGGAGGCGAAGTCGTACTGCTGACTGTACAGAGGTGTGACAGCAGTAAGGTGTTTCCTTCAGACAACCAGCATAACAGCGATGCTGCCTGCCCAAAAGGAGGGGTGGGGTTAGAAAAGGTCGACCCTAAAAATGCACACCTCGCCCTATCCCACGGAGATCCGTCTCCGGCGGTAAGGTCTCAACAAGTACGGAGCTAACACAAAAATTACTCATAAAAAGGTCGTGTGTGACCGACCTCAAGCAGTTGTCCCTTGGGCACTGTGGTCACGCTCTCAGGTCACTAAGACCACCCCTAATCCAATTTCCTTTTCAGGCACTTCCAAAAGAATCCAGTTACTTAGAAACATCGTTTAAAAGATATTGCATGTAAACAGAATTGACTTACAACTCCTCAGCCTTTCGGATTATATCTAAATCCTTAGCAAAAATATCAGCAATGATATGAGATACAGCATCTTCGAGGGCTGTTTTCGATGTAAAAGTTTCTACAATAGAAAATCAGAACATAAGATTCAATATTGATATGCTTCTCTAACTAATACAAGAAAATACATTTCAAGAGTGAAAAGAATAGTTACTTACGACCATTTTGAACGTGGAGGAAATGTGCTACGCCAGTTTTGTAATGAAATTTCAGAATAGCATTTTGTAGTAGTCAATATAAAATAATAATAATCTGTATTAGGTAGAGACAGGTATTTACCTCGGTACAATGGGATATGTAGCGCAATTTCGTGGATTGGTTGAGGTTAGACAATAACACCGTTGGATGCCAGCCAGCTCAGTGGTCTAGAGGTTAAGCGTTCGCATGCGAGACCGAAGGGTTCGAATCCCGCTGGCGAGATCGTGGATACGCACTGCTGATCAGTCCCTAAGTAGAACGAAACGACCGTCCAGTGCTTCCATGTTTTCAATGGTGATCTGACATCAATCGGTTCGTGATCTTAATCAAAAACTTAATGATCTCCACGACCCCATACTGATAATAATAATAATAATACATTGACAAATACATGGCCACGCGTATACAGCCATTATCAGGGAAGTCCTACTCTGCCTTATCACAACAGGGATGTTGTTTACGAAATTGAGAGGACGAAAAGCGAATGTTCGTAGCTTCGATCTGGTTGGTGGATATCAATGATCCATCTAGAGAAGTTGAAAAATCCTAATTCAAAACCAACGGCGCAAATGGGCTCCTGGGTCCTTTTATTTATTTATTTATTTGAACACATAAATATTGGTAAAAGAGGGCACCAAATATATATGCGTCACACAAAACAATGAGAATTTTAAAAGAAAAAAAAGAAGAGGGTAAGGAGCGTAAAAAAAGAACAATAACGAGCAGATTAGTGTAAGGTAGTGTAATAATAATAATAATAATAATAATAATAATAATAATAATAATAATAATGGGGGAAACGGAAAGGTACAATCAGAAGAAATCTTACAGTTAAGGAAGATACAACCACTTTTTATGAAGAAAGTAAAAGAAGATTACAGCACGATCGCCACTGGCTTCTATTCTCAGCCATATCTGATAACGTTTCTAGCCACTGTGTTACACCATCTCTCGAACCACAGCCAGGGAGTCGTGAAGGACCAACACAAACCAGCTCTTTGCAGCTTTCTTACATACCACGACACCATGTCATATACTGACCACCTCTCCGCTTTTTCCAACCAGTCCCAGAGTAGGCAAATAATGCACGACGTGGAATTCTCTGGGACGACATTCGTAGAACATGTCCAAGCCACCGAAGTCGGTGTTTCAAGATGGTGACACCAATTGCATTGTTGTCTCTGTGCCCAAACACACGATCTCGAACCTCTGCATTACTAACATGGTGTTGCCACTGGATGTCAGCAATCCTTCGGAGACAGAGATGATCGAACACAGAGAGTCGTTTAACATCCTCAACTCGGAGAAGCCTGGTTTCACAAGCATAGAGCAAAACTGCTCTGACCGACGCGTTGTAGATCCGGTCTTTTACAGCCAGACTGACATCATGAAAGCGCCAAAGATGGCTCAAATTGGCATAAGCCGCTCTGGCTTTCGCTATACGTGCATTGATCTCATCACTCACGCCACCACCAGCACTTATGCAGCTACCTAGATACATGACCTTCTCGACTACTTCTATCTGCACACCATCCAGGGTGAGTACAGGATTAGAATCCTGCCAGTCTTGGGTCCTGAAGGGGCAAATGTCGTATGGACCTATTCTCGGCCACTTGCTACCATGAGAATGCATCTCCTAACGCTGCTCCACTTCCTTCTGGATTGAACCTCAATGCCAAGGTCTTAGGGAGGGCTCCCCAAGAAAACCAACTGCTTCGGTTCGGCACCCGGACAGTATTCCAAACCTCGCACAAATCGAATGAGTGTGACTTATGTAAATTCGGTGCCTCCTGGCACCAATGTTTTTGTCTAAATAAATAAATAAAAGCATTCGGGGTTGTTGTACACTCAATGTGAGTAGCCGTGATATCATCGGCTCTCAATACCAATGTATACAAGCCGAAGATTGAGCTACCAAGTCAAATACTGCAACAACTATATCATAGGTCTAATGCTCGTTAGTGACTTGACTCAATTGGAATCATCACATCCCAACATTGATACTAATGTTTATAGACTAATATGTTAGTTAAAGCTTATATGGAAAACGGACCGTAGATGAAATACCCGTAATTTGGGATTTAAGTAGTGAAACGCATCGTAATTGTAATTTTTATTTCTTAACAACTACCAAGCTTTGAAATTCACGGTCTTTAGATAGTCTGAGAACCTTCAACGTATTTCTTTAAACTCAAGTCGTATACTCTTAAGGATTCAACATAATTTTATCCGTTGGTTAATCACAACTTCATCTTTATTTTGTTTTGACTTTCCATACCCGAAAGCATTGGCGGCTTATCGCTCTATGACAAGAAACTTTGTGAACCCAAAGTATTGATATTGACTATAAAACCATTCTAATGAAATGCAAATGCTTTAAGTATGATTAAATAACCTTACTTTTAGCTTCTGGAGGTGCCAGACCATACATATCAACACACCTATTTGAATGAAGTATGTCCAAAGCAATAGGTTCCAGATTGACAGCTTTTGCTCGACCTGCGAGCGTGCGTGGACCCTTAGATTTGAAGGGATCTGTCTAACAAAGTCCTATTAAAGTTTAAAATCTCATAAACTTCCCAAAAGCTTAATATCTTCAGTTGTTTTGCATTTCATTAATTGTTGCGATAATTCATTGGTTAGTAATCCACTCTTATCAAAAAACTGAAGTGACTTCTCAATTTTATCAACAAGCATTCTATAAGCATCTACACTAAGAAAATTACTGTCGCAGTTACTTGCAGTCATTCATTTTTTCCTTCAGTCTATGCAACACTGTTGGTTCTGCGCCTCCAGTTACTTCTTTTCGATAGCGTGCAATAAATGGCACAGTATAGCCATTTTCAAACATTGGAATCACACGACTGACTAGATTTCGATCAATATTTGCAGCTTCAGCCACTTGAGTAGTTAAATCAATTTCCATTCTTATAGGGTTGACCATCTTAAATCAGATAAAAATGAAACCGACTTGAAATAAACTAAATATCACTTTCAAAACATCAAGCTAAAAGTTTAGTGTTGAATGTGGAGTGATGCTTAACAAAAACTTCAGGAAAGAAATCAACGAATGAGTATGGAGAAAAAGGCCATTTACTCTATAGAGCTAAATAACACTAGTTATTGGCTACTCGAAATTAATGTAATTATTCTATACTAGTCCGGACATGTTGATTTTCACAACCATATACTCTGATCGAACATTAGACCATCGGATTTACAATCAAATCCTATTCCTTAAATTATGTTGAATTATGTGATTAACTTTAATCCCTTATATGTATATCTTTATAATGCCTTTGTTTTTTAGTCTATCGAACTGTTAGTCCTACTCTATCGTTTTACCAAGTGATTAAAATTTAAGGCACACCATTGAAGACTTTGCATATATTTCTATTCCATTTAGGGTGGACATATACAATGCAACTCAGGATAATTCTACAACTGCATGAAATTTTGTGCAAGTGAAATTCTAATTTCTGTGTTAAGCCAGTACTATTGCTACTTCAGTCTAGTGTGGCGTCCACTCGCTAATATTTCGATTCAATTTCATTTTTATGCATACGCCAACTGTTCTAAGAAACCTAAATATACTCTCGGTAATATTGCGATCCGAATTCCCAATCTACATGGTATAGGCCATAGTGAGTAATAATACTAATACAAAAAGATAGACAAAGAACAATCAGGTTAATGAGATTGCGTGGACAACTTGAAAAAGATACCAAGTAACAACTTTCTGACGAATAACTACGAAACAACACCATTTTCAGAAAATTTAGGAAGATTTAAATCCATGAGTTTTGTATGTTATCTTCACATGAAGGTGAGATCGAACAAAATCGGAGAAACATGGCCCACTCGACAATGCACTGATATGGTGTACACGAGTTCGAGCACAATGAAACATGGTGGAAAGAACGACTGGTTTCCAACACTATTTTATTCTGAAGTAAACACACTTATATGTGTTTTGAGATTCCTTATTTAACCACTTAGGCCTGGTAAACAATCAAGGGAACTAGTCTGCACTTATATAGATGGAACCTTTCAGGAAACATGTCGACAACAATCTGTCCTATAGAACTGAGAAGTCACTTATAAAAACCAAGATATTCTTCAATTGTAGGAAAGTGCTGTACACAATGGGTTTTATTACAGTTCAGTAGTAATGAAGTGCAACTTCGAGAACTCATGATTAGCTTATCTAACAATTACCAAGCAATCTGATTTAAATTTATGCGAAAAGCAGACAATTTGGCGATCACTAAGGAGTGAATTTATATACATATCGCAACATGGGTGACATTTAGGCGAATCGTCTCATAACTTCCCAAGTGAGAGAAAAAGGCGACTTGCATCACAACCTGAATCGACACCAAATTTCATTAGGCAATGTCCGCTTTATTACCCCATTCTTGCTAAATTGGGTTATAGGCCGTGCCATTTGGTCGTTTTTAAAAAGCGGTCATGTGTAGCTAAAGAAATTTGCTTTTTTCCACTCTTTTCTGACTTTTAGACATTTTTGGTACCAGACTTCTAACCATTGGGGAAAACAAGCATTCAAAATCAAGAGGTGCTACATAGCCAAAACATAAGTTGTAAAAGTCCCCGGATCACAACAACTTGCACACCCTAACGACCCTGAGGGAACAACTTGACCTTTCCAAGGAACAATATACTTGTGACAAGCTAGCGTAAACAAATTAATTTTTTCAGCTCGAATCTTTCGTAGAGTTACTGAAGCCTTTCTTGTCATTTGATTACATTAGTCCTAGTGAACCTGACATTTATTTGTAGTATTGTTCTCACACTAGTAAATTTTCAGTTTGGGAAGAACTGTATACAAAGTCAAAAAGGCTTTAGCATTAACATGGCTAAACGCCTTTAGTGACTATTTCATGGCAGTGTGCAGTATTTTTTATGTTCTGGCTATCATTGACTCATAAATCGTTGTGTGTCTGGACAAAGGTAGGTCAAAGTTATTCATCGTATATGTATCTGTACCTTGACGACCAGTATGGATCACAATACACTTGAGAGTATTTATCGTCAACTGCCGAGTTTGAGACCATTCAGATAACTTCTCCAAGTCATTTTGAAGCTCTAAGCTCCAATCACTCTCCATATCTTGACATCGTCAGCATATGGCAAGGCCAATGATGATAAAACATATAGAAGGCCATTTTTATTCTAAAGTATTAACATTGGCAAGCAAACTGTACTCTGTGGCACTCCACTAAGCATAGTTTCCCAGTCAAAATACTTGGAGTTCACCCATACTCTTCGTTGGAGCACAACTAGAAAGTCTTTTATCCACATTGATAAATTGCCTCTAACTCCGTCATTTCTTAACTTATATAACAGGTGGTAACTCCTCCTGGAGCCCGTCTGGGGCTAGTGCCGGCCCCAAGCCTGGATAGACGAGGGTGTGGTCATGAAGTTAGCGACTCTATCCCTTAGAAAACTAACTCGCTAAAAACGCAAACCGTAAGAAATAATTTAAACCACTTAAACTCTGCCCTGGGAGTCAGGTCTTCATTTAAAAGAATTATGACGCCTCGTTGTGTAAGCCGAGTTTCCTTGGAAGTCATGAGGCTGATTCCCTCTTCTGACAACCAGAGCAACCATTAATTAAGGTACATGGAATAATCGTACAATGTGAAAGACCGGAAGAGTCATCCGAATTGCTGCAGAAATAACAGTCGTTTGTGAGGAACTTTGTCCAAAGCTCCGCTGGAGTCAATGTAGGCTACGTCTATATGTAACTTTTGGTCTTTAAAGGCGAACCGACTTTCATAAGCCACTAATAAGTTATTGAGACAGGAAAAATCTATTCCAAAGCCATGCTGGTTTCCCGAAACAATCCGTTTTTCATCAAGATACTTGAACAGCTCCTTCCGAATAATCCTTTCAAAAATTTTAACAAACACGGGTCGTTAGTTCTTACATTTGTGTTTCTTACCTGTTTTTAAGACAGGACAGGTGTTCTTTCAGTCTTACAGTAGTTGACTCTGGGTTACGGATAGATTAAAATATATACTTGAAGGGTTTGCAACGAAGTTAGCCAGTTCCTTTAGTAAATAAGGATGCATTGCATTGGGTTCCGATGATTTGATTATATCAAGCTTATTCGCCAGACCAAGGGCCTCATTAACCAAACAAATCAGTAGCTTTTAGCCTTTACATTTCAAGCGGTAACTAAGTGATCCACACGTCCCACTTTCATGGGATACACCGTTCATAAAGGCAAATGAGATAGTGTTCCTAACCAATAGACGTACTCCTCCTCCTTTACGCTCCAGTATTTTGTCCACCCTAACTAACGCGAAGCCTTCCAAATCAAATTCCATACTGTCTATAGACTGTATCAGCCACGTTTCTGTGTCTACGATTACATCTGGCTTGGTGGAGTTAATCTGTACACCTAGATTCTATCGCTTATTTGAATAAGCTTCGGGCATTTGTGTAACTGATCCGAAATCGATTTAAATTGCTTAGTATCTCACCCGCAATGGCTTCAGCACTATTCTCTATCGAAGCCTCACAACCGGAAATTTACAAATTTTAGGTTCTTTTCGCCAGCATTCAACCTACATTGTAGTTCTTTTTCGGCTTCTCGTCTTTTTACACGGTCTGCGAGCAGCACGTCCTTACGGACGAAACCTCTTGATCCCTTCTGTTAATGTCCATTCCGTAATATTAAGTCTTGTTCATTAGGAGTTTTAAATACAGCCTAAAGCAGCCTGGTCTGATTTTGTTTCATGTTCGTCTGGCTGCCTAGTTTATACATCTTTAGCAAAGTGACTAAGGAGATATCCTGAGGCATTAGCTGATTTAGTGGTTGTTTTATCAACCCAATGTAATGGTCAAAACGAGATTTAGGTTCCGAGCCCGAAAAGCATCTGTTACATAACCGGTCAGAAGACTTACTGATTTCAGTGTAGAACTCATAAAACTAGTGTCCAGATGGATGGATTGATGACAAGAGTTAAGAAATGAGCAAATTAGTTTCAGTTACAGATAGGGAAGGATAGGAGGTTAAACTGCATGTGTTAGTCCTGATAATGGTGGTCTCAATTGATCCAACTCTCTCTAGAACACTTAGATGGGTGGGGCTTCAGTCATTTGTTATGGTGAAAAATTCCGCTCGTCCATCATTAGGCAGGAAGGTTTGCAGTTATTTGACAAGTAAAAGACTTTGGTCCTACAAGCTTTTATGGAGCGCCCCTGTGAATTCCGTTTTGAAAGATAATAAAAATTAGGTTCTTTTGCATGCAAAACTACTAACAAGTGATTTAAGAAACTGCAATCAAGTCAAATCTAGCTCCGATATGTAACTGAGAAATAAGCACAATTTAGTAGCGTCTCGTCTTGTGATTCCACGAATCAACTTAAATGGTGTTCTATTAACCTTTTCTGACAGCTCTTTGCCTGTTTTAGGTGGAAACTGGCTATCTTCGTGCAATACTCGAATTTGGGATCGGGAAATAGTACTTGAAAATTTATAAAGATCCTATGTGTCCCATAGAGCTACCTAAATCGAGAATGCTTGAAAACCAAAAAATCGAGTTCTTCAATGGTCGGCATTTCCAGAATACGGATGGAAGTATTGAAATGTGCTCAATGTAAGAATGTTTCTATGGTATATTCAGTGTTGGCCTAGTCCGAGGATAGCTAAGTTTTATCTTGCCCATCCTCGATCAGTGATGTAACACTCTCATCTCCATAGAATGTTCAAATGTCTCTGCATATTTTGTGCCTTGGTTTGTGTATGAATATATGTGTTTTGTGCAATCTATAAACCAAAAGAATTTTTTTATGTTCCTTTTCAATGTAACATAGGGTTGGGACATAAATATTTATGTATCGTGACCTTGGTTTTCCTACATTCCCTTCCATCTAGATAAAAGAGTACGAATCCTCTTATTAAATAATAGTGAAAAGTTAGTCTAATCACACACAAGGTCAATCAATTTTCCGAGGGTGTGTGCATAAACCCTGTCCGATAGGACAAATTTGTGCACCTAGTTCCCACTGATTGTCAAGTAGGCTTCGGGGATTTATGTAAAAGTCTCAAAGCCTAGTCGAAAGCCTCGGCGAAGCGTCAAAAAAGCCTCCGGAATGATTTCCTTTTGATCTAAAACTCTATAGTGCTTATCTCCGCCATCTAATATTAGTTTTATTTTCTTCAGCTCCTGGCTCTTTCATAAGATGAGCGATCAAGAGATCCGTTCAAAAAATTCCCGGTTTTGAGACAAATCCTTTCTAATCGTAGAGCTAATTGATATCCTAGACATTTCAATTTGATTTTCTTTTCAGTCACCTGGCTACCTGACCTGTAAAACTTCAACAGAGCGATGCCAGTGATATGCTAAGGCATAGGCTATGTAAGTGATTTTTTGGTTGAGACCATATCACAATCACTATGCTCTATGTATTAAAAGCTTTATCTCAGCTGGGCCTTTAAGGAGATAACCGACCTGTTACTATGATTGACCCTTGGTGTCTCGACTACGATAAAGAACTCTTACTTCTCTTTCGACCATCTCTTTATGTTTTACTATCTCTATGTATCAACCACCCGGTTTTCTTAGATCTGTAGTTTAAGTTGCGCTACACCTAGTCGTAAATTCCGAAAAACTTTCGAAGTGTTGACACTAAAACTTCTCGAATTTTGTTATTTTCCCACATTCAATTCGACATAGGAGATAAAGGCTCAGTTCAGTTAAAACAGTCAATGTAACGTAAAAGACACACTGGGAATCCATCCACAGCGTTTTGTTGGACAGTGCTACCTTTCTGTCTGTTTCTTCTCCATGTCTTGTACTTTAGCTTCTGGTCGGGTCACCTTTGGACGCACTTTATATCCTCTTCTGGGCTTTTATTATGTGGCCTTGGTTAAAGCCTCATCTTCTGTCAATAAATTCTACTGTTGAATGTTGCTGGCTTATTGACATTAGGGTTGAGTTTGACTAAAAGTAAGATCACAGCAGGGTTCAGTGCATGACTGTTAATCTCTGGCTGTCCGCCTGGAAAGGTTTGTAGAATTACGGTCTACTATGATATTAGCACTGCTCTAATAGTAGACCTAATCCTAAAATTGTAGATTTGTCATGATGCAACTGCCTAATCTATAAGATCTTACGTGGAAGTTACTTCATCGTCTACACCGATTCATTGCATTGTAACAATTATCAATACGTGATAGAGAACAAGCTTATGCTAGAGATAGAGCAATATATTTAATATGAATAAAAGATACAAGATAACATTCAGCTGGGACCACGCCAGCAAGGCTGAGCCATGCCATCCGATCAACCCGGACCATTTCAATTTATTCTCCCCGCCTTCTCCATTCTTCTGTATTCCTCCGCGTTAAATGTTTAATGTCTATTTCTCATATTGTCTCGTGGTAGGGCCCAATGCCACTACAGGTTACCCTAATCTTTGCAGATACATATCTGATCGCACCTTGTTTGAAATATTTCTATTGATTCCCAGTTATCGAAATCTTTTTTATTAGCCATTCCTTCTCTTGTTTATTACGTCAGTTTGTGTTTGCAAAATCCCCGGCTGTATAGCACATAGTGTACCGTTTGGGGTATTTCCTACTTTTGATGCAAATTATTATATTTTTCAAGTTAGAACCGTTTATATTTGAACACAGAGT